ATTGGTGGGATTCAGGAGCACGGCCAACATGCTTTCGCCCAAATATTGGCGCAACTCAGGAGGGCGAGCAGAAGGCTTTTCCCCAAGATCGGGATTCGGGAGCACGGCGCTTACTGGCTGGATTCAGGAGGACGGTCAAAACGAGTTCCTCCAAGTACTGGCACGGTTCTGAGTCTTCCAGGCCTGAAGATGGCTCATGTAATGGAATTTACGATGCATCTGGCTGTCGGGGAGACGGCTTACAGCAGATCCTCTGCAAATAACACACGTCCCGCGGGCAACCTTTTCCCCAGAGCGCCGTGCGGTGTCACTACCAAGTCTCTTTACTCCCAACGCCAGAACCCCATACTCCGTTCCACACTGTTTGGGGAACAAAGTTGCTGCTTCTTGGCCGAACGAGCACATTTGGAGTTGCCACGGACAGCAATGAGACTGCGAAAAACACACACTGCGCGAGTGAGGTTGTGACAGGAAAGATGACATTGCGTTGATGACTCAGCTCCTCGAAAAAGCACTTCTTTTCTTCAGCCGCTGTATTCGCAATGCCAATCTTCCACCATAAACCTCCGTGCATCTCTCCGCATTTACCCAAAAACCCCGCCGGAGGGCCTGACTGGCTGCGCTGGGCTGCTGTCGCTCCTCTTTGTCTTTCCGGGGGCTTTCGAACAAGGTGAGGTGCTTTCTTCACTTGTCGGTCGCTACTAGTAGCCGCTAGGTGCAGTTGCTTTTGGTGCCCATGACTTTCGCATTGAATGGGGCCCGACAGGCATGAAAACCTGAAGCACTTACCCCCAGGAACTGTACAGCAGAGGCGCCCCGCAGACTGAGGATGAGTTGTGCGTCAGGGCGAGCGAAGAAACAAGCGATTGATGGTTTCCGCTCGCTACCCTGTAGTGACTTCCTGACTTTCTCGGTCACTTGAAACCGCAGTACCCTACAAAACTTTGGAGCACTGATTGGGGGCTCTTACTCTCTACGCTGCTGCAGACGACTCCACTGGCCTGCTGCCGTTTCTCTGTGTTCGTTCAGACTCCGAGTCTTTAGAAGAGGAAGTGACGTGCTTCTTTCGCCTGTCTCGTAGCTTGCCACAGTCACTCCACAAACCTTGCCTGTTTGCTTGGCTTTGGACACATGGCCACGACCTCATGAAGCTTTTACCCAACGTTTCAAGACCATTGCGCGAGGAGCTCCAAGGTAGAAGCACCCCAGCATGCCCCAGATTATGCGCCCCCCAAGACGGCGGAGCGTCAGTTCAGGAGAGGTATAGGATTATTAGCGATAATGAACCAGGATGATTTGCGTGCCAAGATTAATGAAAATAGAATCGAACACCCCACTGAACCTCGCAATGACTTCCTTCGTTTCACGGTCAATTGGGCAAACCACCGTACCCTACACAAATTCTGATTCTCTGCGTTCACGCAGACACGGCCGGAAGGCCTGCGTTGCTGCGCAGGGGCGGGGCTGCTGCCGTTCCTCTTTGCTTGTCAGATTCAGGCGCTTTCGGGAGCGATGTTCTTCCTTCGCCCGTCTGACACCAGCAATTCAATGTTGGCGGGAGGTCTCGTAACTTGCTAGACTTACTTCACAGACCGTGTTTGCCACAACCTGTTTGCATCATCTCGGGCCAAACAGGCCGATTATCTAAAGCTGTTCCGCTGAATTTCACGGCCATCTAGAAAGACTCTATACTGGCGTGTTAGGGTAGGACCCCCTGTTCAAGAACCTTTTTGTGTAAGCAGGTGCGGGCTCTGGGACGCAATACCCCAGGGCTGACGCTGGATTCATGATTATGCTGACATTGATGCGACTTTTACTAAAAGCTCAGGCCTTGAAGATACGACGCATGCCGGTCTAACTTGCTTTGCGCTCCGAGATACTCCGTTCGCAAGCAAGTTTACAAACATCCTATGCACACACTTGCAATATCCCGCTACCGGCCTCTCCAAGTAAAGGCTACACGAGCTTCAGTATGCCTTCCTGCAACTGGGGTTTTGGTATGCCTTTTGTTTGCGCGGCACGCCTTAACACATGACCGTGTGGCACGGTGTATGTGCCTCAAGCTTAAATGAAGCGTGAGTTCTGCGAGACAATTAAGTAATAAGAAATACTGAAATGCTTCTCGGTAACCGGAATCTTGACATATCTTGACTTACATTGACTTACTGTCAGTCGACAGTCGCTTCAAGTATCCTACAACTCTACCAGACACGAGTTTATTGTATAGGCATTCGGAACTCTGCCTCTCTCGACATTCTTCCGGACGCTGCCGGCCCGCCTCGACCCCACAGACACACCAGTTTTCGCACGTTCCGTGGCGTGCCTGTGGATTTTGGTGATTGTGAGAGAGAGAGAGAGAGAGAGCGAGCGAGAGGTGCATTCAGCAGCGATCAGGCTGCAGTCGTCCCTTTTTGACAAAGCTTTCAGGACCCGGACCTCTCGGGAGTCCCACTTCCTTCCAGCGTAGATGCTGCAGGTTTACCTTTAGAAACCCTGGACCTGGTCCTTCGACCCGCAATCTCGTCCTCAACCTTTGACGTTCATCATGCAACCCTAGACCCTCAACCCTAAATTGCCTGAAGCTTATGAACTGCATCGGCCCTATGCCATCGATGCCTCTGACTCTGCCAGCCACGATTGTAGGGCTCACGAGTCTCTGCAGTCCTGTAGGTCGGGGTGTAAGGCTTTACAGCCCGGTAGGAGTAGGGCTGATAGTTGGTTGATACAGTTAGGGGCTTGCGCAAGTTTAGAGTCTTGGAGGGCCTTGGGCTTCAGACTTTCGGATTGCTTTCCGGGAGCTGCTAAGTCTCCATGTTCTTCGAGGGTCGGCTATCTCGACCTCGCAAACATTGGACCGACTTGCTGTTGCTGTCGTCAGGGGGTTTTCCAAGTCCCTGTCTGATAATTCCGCGTGAGGCTCGCTGAAGCCTTTTTGCGACGACCTCGCCGGAATCAAGGGCTCGTACCGCTCCGAAGCATCCCATCATCGAATCACCGGAATCGGGCCCCCCGAAGGGCCGCAGCAATGTCATCATCGTCGTAGGGGCACTGGAAGATGCCCATATTCCTGTCGAAAAGCTCCTGCTCCGTGTTCTTCCGATCCCGGTTGTCATACCCCAGGAATCTTAGCACCTCGGAGTTGCCTCGCATGGCGGCGTGCAGCTTGGGATCTGTTCGAATCTCGGGGGCCGTGTGGACGATGGCTTTGCTGTCCTGACAACCGTGACTGAAATGAACAGGCACGAACAGCGGCACTGTCCTACTATACTACTGTACTACTGTGCTGCTGTACTACTGTACCACTGCACCACTGTACTGCTGTACAACTGTAGAATTTTACTGAACTACTGTACCCCCCCCCCCCCAATAATCCTCCCTGCCTGGGCGTGGGGTTGTTAGACTTCAAAGTCAACAATTATGAACGCCCGATCCTCGTCCGCTCCTGGCCTCCGCAGAGACTACCGTGAGACTCCCTGGAGTGCCCAACAGCCAACACGGGGACGCCAGGACCTTAACGCCAGTCAGTGGTGTGTCCCCATGGATCGTCGACTGACTTGAGTCGAACACGTGTTTTGGTGCGTGTACCGGGACCCCACGTCCGTAACGCCAGTCAGCGGTGTGACCCCATGCATGGGTCGTCGAATGACTTGAATCAAACATAATCGAACACTCGTGTTTTGTTCCGTGTACGGGGACCCCACGACCGTAACGCCATGGCAGTCAGTGGTGTGACCCCATGGATCGTCAAATGACCTGAATCGAACACTCGTGTTTTGGTTCGTGTATGGGGACCCCACGTCCGTAACGCCGGCGCTGGCGTGACCCCATGGATCGTCCACCGACCTGAATGGAACACGTGTTTTGTTAATGCATAGAAATGACAGAGGCATTGAAACTAACCGAGTACAGTTAAGGCCGGATAGCGATATGTGCCAAGTAGCAGACCAATGGTAGTGGAAATACATACCCAGTATTTATCATCGACTGAAAGGCATCACGCACAGAACAAGCATACCAATGCTCACAACAAGAGCATGCGACTGGAAAGAAAAGAAGCTCCTTCTGCAAAGGCGCCACTTTATTTCGCTTTTGCAAGCATCTCCCACAGTGGGGCTGCCGGGCCATTAGAATTATCCGAATCGGATCAATCAATACTGCAGGAGCACCACAGGCAGAAGACGCACAGCAGCTGGGATGTACGTACGTACGATACCTACATACATACATACATACATACATACCTACATACCTACATACCTACATACCTACATACCTACATACCTACATACCTACATACCTACATACCTACTTACATACCTACATACCTACTTACATACCTACATACCGACATACCTACATACCTACATACCTACATACCTACATACATACGTACATACGTACATACGTACATACGTACATACATACATACATACATACATACATACATACATACATACATACATAATATATATATATACATGCATATGTATGTACGTACGTATGTACGTACGTATGTATGTACACACACATATACAGTACACGCAAAGCTAGTAGTGTATACTGTATATAACAGTTCACGGAGTAATCTGCCAGCATTCGTCGTAACAGCAGCACTCAATGGTACTCACCAGTCCTGCTTGAGGGCCTCGATGACTACCTCCAGGTCTGCCTGCAACTTTGGCGAGGCGAAGCGCAGCGTGGCGCCCTGGACGCGTACGGCTAGGAGGACCAGGGAGCGATCGCCCTGCAGGCGCGAGGAGGCGAACTCCAGGGCAGAAGTATCCTGCCTCACGGCTTCCAAGACGACGTCCCGGTCACCACGCAGGCGGATGGATGCGAACTGAAGTGCCAGCCAGTTTTGCTGCACGGCGGTGAGCACCAGTGGCCGATCGTTCTGCAGCTTCGCGGAGAGCACCTGCAAGGCCAGGCCATCGCCTCGCACTGCCAGCCGTGCTAAGGCATGATCTTCCCTCAGATCGGGAGATGCCAGTGCTAAGGCATGCCAGTCCCTGTTCACGGCCATTCGCACGATCTTGGGGTTGGCTCGCAGGGATGCCGGAGCATACTGCAGTGTCCGCCAGTTGCTCCGGAAAGCGCTTACGAAAAGCTCCAACTTGAAATGCTTGTCCATGCAGACCACGAGCACCAAGTTCAGGCAACCTCGCGCTGCCAGGTCGGCCACCAGCTCCTGTGAAAACCCGCATCCAGCTGTTCCCAAACCCTAAGCTCAAAGGACAAGTTTCGAAATTCACAAGACCTGAGCCCGGTGGCAGACTTTGAGCGCAAAGCTCATCCCCTCATCCGCATGGATCCCCCTTAAGCAGGTCGCTGTCCAGATCGTCTGCATCCCGGTCGCCGAAAAGCAGGCGCTGCCGCTGCCGAGCCACCTTTTCGCTCCGCTCCAGTAGCTTTTTCACATCGACGATCCTGATTCCATTTAGGGGTTTAGGGGCCTAAGGCTTCGGGTTTAGGGGTTTAGGGTCTAGGGTTCAGGGCCAGGGGTTTTTGCCATGCAGCTTGGCTGAGCGAAACCATGTGATACTCGTGAAAAACGCTTCGCCACATGTCTGCGTATGCATGTGCTTGCATGTTCGAACCTGACCTGTGTTCTGAACACGTACGAAACCACAACATCTCGGTGTGTAGGTGGTGAGACGGATGTTGATGCATAGCATGATTCATGTTCAACAACCTTCAGAAGCACGCGCGCGTGGGCACGCCAATTCAATGTGCAGAGAGACAGACGGAGAACGAGAGGTATGGAGGGAGAGAGAAGGGAGAGGCGAATCACGAGAACGAAAGCGCAGGCACCGAAGACACACCGCACACAGAGAGACCGCCAGACAGACAGACAGACAGACAGACAGACAGACAGACCAGACCAGACTAGACCAGACCAAGCAGACAGACACCTACATGTCGCATACACACAAATCCAAACACACACACACACACAGAGACAGAGACGGACACACGACACGTGAATGCATGGACGCTGCCGGGAACATGTTCAACCGGACATGACCCATTGAAGCTTGCCGCTGGGTCTCAGCCAGGTCTTTTCTGCAGCAATTGTGCGCAGAGGGCCCTGAATGTCGCAGATATTCACCTGACGCGAGGTTAAGGTTTCCGGCACGACTACGGAATTCTCTTTTAATTCGTGCAGAAGTACTCGCAAACTTGATGCAGCCTCGCGACATTCACTCCAGCACTACACCCAGATCTGGATTCCAAGGACGAGCTCCGACTGTATCTGGACCCTCGTACCCTAAATACCTACGATTAAGGGGGCCACATTTGAGGACGCGGAAAAGCCCGGTTTTGCTCCCAACCTGCACGGAGGTGTCCTCCGGGGCCGGCTCCTGGCAACTGCCACGACATGACCAGGGAGGGGTCAGAGGCTGATCACATGTGGGGGCCTTTATAATTAGAATAGGGTTTCGGGGTCGATTATAGTATAACGATAGTAAGGAACCCCCAAAACCCTTATTCTAATTATTAAGGCCCCTATGTTTCTTTGTGGTCATAGGCTGTAGGCTTTAGGGAAAGGCCAGGAAGAGCCTTTTAGGAGGCGACTGCGACTCGGCTATAAATCAGGTCTCTACGATATAGAACTGCACGACCAAAACTCGCGAGCCACAGAAGACCCCCTTCCGCGGCCTATGCAGACTACGGGGTACATCATCGCGCATTTCCCATGGATGTCCATCCGGAGCAGGTAAGATAGTGCTGAGGATTTCGAAAAGAAGGCACTCCACCCCGACCCCGAGCTCCGGAGCCTAACCCCGGAGCCTAAACCCTAAACCCTGTCAAGGTCTCGGCGATCCCAGACATACACAAAACAAGGAGTGAGCTTAAATTCACTTGCAATGATCGGATGGACGACGCCAGTTCTAAACGATTCTTAAACGGCTCGCATAGAAGTAAGAATCATGCTTGTCCTCACCATCTGGCGACGGTTTCTCGTCCGCCAGCTCGATGCGAAGCTCTCTCTCCCTCCTGCAGAACAGTTGGAGGATGTGTTTGTTGTCTTCTTGACGGCGCGTGCGACCTCCATCTCGGCTGATAAGCTTTCATCTTGCCCCGTCTATGACAAAATGCGCAAGTCATTACACAACCTATCCTGGGCAATCTGTCAGTTTTCAGACGGCTCTACATCTTTTCTCCACTCTGTGGGTAATTGGTAATATGATCCAAGCAACGCTCAGCATGCTTCTTCTCAAAATGGTGCTAGTGCACTGTTTCGAGCATTCCCGCATATATGGATCGAGGCACCCAGCACCTTGGGCATTCGGGATTACGGCCCTGTGGGTTCATTCAGGGTTTAGGGCTCAGGGCCTGCGACAGATAGCTTCTCCTTCTGACATTGAGGAAGCTAGCCTCACCAAAACGATTTACTAGTTAGGGACTACCGGGGCATAGGGGGGATGCACTTACCAACATTGTTCGCTCCTCCTTCGGGCCGCATCCACTCGGTGCTGCTCCTCGACGAGCTCCTCCGTCTAAGTCGGAGGGTTTTTTTTTGGGATGGGCTGCACCTTGTCGTTTTCTGGTGGGTTTGAGGACTGCAGGCCTCGAAAGAGAAGTCCGTCGCGTCGTCCTCATCAAGCTGGGCGCCTTCCTGCAGCCGACATGCCATGAGGTCAGAGTCCATGGGTGCACTGCCCTAAACATCAAGGAGGGCGCTGGGCCTGGTCACTGGGCGCCGGCGCCTCCTCTTCCTCTGCGGCTTCGGCCCTTCGCCGCTCCTCCCGCTGGGCCGCCGCGCGCGCGGCCTCCAAGCGCCGCTTCTGCTCGGCCTCCTCGGCGTCGCGCTGGCGCCTCAAAGCCGCCTCCCGAGCTCTGGCCGCTTCCCTGGCCGCCTCCCGCTGGCGCTGCCGCTCCTCCTCCGCCAAGCGCTCCTCCTCCTCCTTGCGGGCCTCTGCCTGCTTGCGCTGCTTGCGGCCCTTCTCGTCCTCTTCCCAGCGGCTCTGCACCAGCAAGAACATCTCTTGTGCGTGCGGTTGGCGAGCCTGATCGTGCTTGTCTGGATGCAGCTCCAGTTGCAAGGCCCTGAGCCGCGAGCGACGCTCGGCCGCCCCGCAGAAGTCCACGATAGAGAGCTCTTTCACCAGGCGGCTCCGGCGCTCCCGAGCCCACGTCTCCGCATCGCTATCACAACTCAGGTGCGAAGGCTTGGAAGGCTGAGGGAAAGGAGGGAAAGGAGAGAAATACTGGCCTGTCGGAGCATAGCCGCCTGGCGCTTCAGCATGCCGCTCCCGAGCTGCCCTGGCAGCCTCTTTAGCTGCCTCCTTGGCGGCATCCCGGGCAGCCTGCGCCGCCGCCTCCCGTGCAGCCCGCTGCTCGATGCGAACTGGGTCTGCCTCGTCCCGCGCTGTGTCGCACCATTGGCAAACTTCTTCCGAATCGCTGTTGTCTTCCAGACACTTTGTGCACTCCCACTTGGGTGCCATGATGTGCCATGCTACATGCCGCAAAGAGTGCTGCTGGTCATGACACTGTACTGTTTAGGCATTGCATTGCCGACATGGCGTTTTGGTTTTTGCGTGCAGATTCGTCTGCTGATGCTGTTAAAATGCAAAATCTGCTGCAAGCTTGGTCAACGGCTTTCCCTTGTGGCATCTTGTGGCATTTGCAGGAAGTGAATGGCTTGTTGAATTCTGTGGTCGCAGAAGCTGTGAGCATGCCATCACATGCCGGCCCGGATTTCTCGGCAACCAATGCAAAAGACTGTAGTGCGCGCGTGTGTGTGTGTGTGTCTCTGTCTGCACGCGGATGTCTCTCGTTTCTCCTGCGGCTCTTGCTGTGGGTACGCTCTCGGATGGCATGTCTGCAGTGACCCTAGTGACGCTCTACAGATGCCACATCGAACTGAGCGGACAGGGCAAAACATTGGGATGAACTCGGTGACACGAACCCACGCGCATCGCAAATCGGAATGGCCCAAACCGAACACCGAGAAACGTTGAGCTTATGACAGCACATGTCACACCTGAATCTCCGCACTCGGATTCGGACTCAGTGACAGCTCATTCTGAGGACTGTTCTACAAGTCGGGTTCGTGCTGGGAGAGTTCTTACCGGAGACGCGGAAGTGAAATCCTTTTACGCTACACCCTTTGGCTAGCCTAACTATCTATCTATCTATATATCTATCTATCTATCTATCTATCTACTTCTATATCTATATCTATATCTATATCTATATCTATATCTATATCTATATCTATATCTATCTATCTAAGTGGACCTTCATGTTAATATGGAGAAGCCCGGCCCCAGACCCGCCGAATCCGCACAAAGCCCATGCCTGGTCGACGGCCAGGCGCTGAAGCGCTCAGTCCTTGAAGCAGGGGCACAAGACCACCACGGCACGAGAAAAAAGCCCAACCGGGCCCCCGGACTTCCGAAGGAGCAGAATTGAAATCCGCGACTTGTTCCCCTGACAGTCCCATGAGAAGCTGTTAAGCAGTAGCTGTTGCCCAGTGCAGCCAAGAAGGAAGCTGTGCATGAACAATTCGTGGTCGTCATCATGCATACCGCAGCACTGCCATTGCTATTACTTTTGCCCACTATGCTCCCGCAGCCTCCTGCGAACTTCGACACGTTGTGCTTGAATTGGCTCAAGCAGGCCGAAGATGCGTCTCAGAATGTTTGTCTCAAGTGCTGCCTACGAAGTCTCAAGCTAACTATTTCACCCAAAACGACCAAAACTACAATCAAGAAGCGGCAAGAAAAGAGGAGAAGGCCCCTTGTCCCGCAGAGATACCGCTCCTGCCGTGCCCGCGCCCGCCCGACATGGCCCAAGTAAGGCTGAAGATCCGGAAGGCAGATTTAGGGATGATGAATGCAAGCAGTCCTTTAAGAGCACCCGGTGAGCTCCACAAGCTTTGGTCAGAAGAGACTTGGCTCAGTTCGCGCCTCTTAGAAGCTTTTGCGCAGGTTCGGAAGGCTTAGCCGGTTCATGAAACCCCGCCTACTGCACGTCTGGGTTCGGTGTTCTTAGCAGATCCAGCAGGGGGCTCGCTGTGAGCTGCTCTAAAGCATGCACAGCTTGAGCAGGGACTCCGGCCACGGAGTAGATTATGACAGCTGCAGAACGATGGAGCCGTCTGTCAACTAAACGTTCACGTCGCATTTGAGGGAAAGTGTCAGGGAGCGGCAATACAGAACTGGATTTACGCGTTGTTGCCGACACTTCCGGTAGACCGGCAAACTTGATACATAAGCCCGGAACCATGGACCGTTTTGACTGATGCCAGAGAAGCCTAAATAAATCCTTCAGCAGGCAGGTTTCCCTAGCGCCCCGGCGACTCCACCGAAGCCCCAACCCGGGGGAACCCTGCAGTAAAGATACCCCTTCCAAATTCAAATTACTGAGGCCTTTGTGGGTGTTTGGGTCCGTGCCCCGGCAGCAGCGCAGTACGCTCGAAGGACCTCGTCTACAGCGTGACGATACGACGCCGACGATGCGGCTGTCTAGACCTAGATTCGAGCACATCGGTACCAGCGGTACTACTACCAGTTGCGCTGGTGCTCCTCCTGTTCTTCTTCCACAGTAGCAGCTTTAGCAAGGCTTTGCTGCACACCTCTTCTTCCTCGATGGCAGAACCATCCTCCTCGCTTCCCAGCGCAGGATAGCCGACCTTGCACCCGCTAGGACAAATGTCTCATCGCAGGTGTAGAAACTGCCAAACCCTGAACCCTCAATAGATTTGCCAAGCCCGCCCCAAAACCCGGATGCCCTAGGCCCTCGAAAGCCTAATCCCGAGCCCCAAAATCTAGCTCCCAATCCAAAAATCGAAATCAAGGTCTGGGTCCAGGGATAACCGCAAGTATGGGCGACAATCAAGGCCCTCCTCGTCCGGAAGTACCAGACTGCATAATGAACCTAGAGTGTTTCATGGTGGTGGTGATGCCCCTCCAGCTCCATCGTCCGGAACTATCACGTATTGAAAAATTTGATAATGAAGATTCGGCGATACTAGGAGAGAAGTCTCGATGTAAGTTCGATGCTGTCATCTATACTGTATACAGTGCAGTGCCCTTGCAGCACCCCCCTTCATCTCCTATTCTCCTATTCAGACAATACCAAAAATCCAAGCTGCAGAAGCCCCAACACCCCAGATCGCGACATCCGGAATCAAGCACCTGAAAGCTTCCCAAGCCCTAAACCCTAAACCCGAAACCGAAGGCCGGAGAAGCCAAACTCTCCATGACAACCAGAAACCCCAAACACTGGACCTCCAGCAACCAAGACCAAGAACCACAAAACCCGCAGAGCAAAAATGTCTACTAAGCCCAGAAAAACCGCGAAAACACAAGATACCAGTCTGAGGGTCCTGATCAACGTCCACACCTTACTTGCCACAGCCTGTTGGGTGTAGTTGGGTCTTTTGCTGCCCAAGGGCAAGGGGGCCCTAATTTTCAACCACCCCAACTGCCACAAGGGCACCAGCCGGCCAAGACCGCCCAGGTGGTAAGGCAAGCAAAGGTTTGCGAGGTCCTCCACGGCCGTCATAGGCTTTGGCATGAAGCTCACTCTGGATGATTTAGCACGAATTTTGCATGTAGAGGCTTTCGCATCTGTGAGCAGAACACTCAAGATCAGAGATGTTTCTGCGCTATCAAACAGCGCCGTCATTAAATATGCTATGCTCTTAGTTCATATGGTGTGGGCCCATACTGCACATTTTTCGTTGGTCTGGGGTGCAGCAGGCATTGCTTCCTTTGCGCCTAATCGCAGCTGAACGCACGTCTACCAGTTACCTGGCCGGGTTCAGGCAAAACTACTCTTCGGAATTGCAGAGTCACCGCCCCGCAAGACCCTGCCACAATAAAGCCAGAATCCTCAAAGCCTCGAAATGCCCCTGAGCCTTCGCTAAACCGTCGACGCCGGATCGGAACCGCTCAGCTGGGGCCCGGGACGCTCATGGGATGCCCAATCGTGCTCAGCTCCCAGTCCACTACTGCCTTAGGGGGAGCGTTTCGGGAGGCCGGGTTCAAGACGGGCTCAAGGGATTGAGGGCTTGCTTCGGAGCTTCTGCTACTAACTGCTACTAGGGATACTGCGGAAGGTAGTGATGCTGTTTTAAGGGAAGGGTCAGAATTTGAGGGGGCACAGGATTTAGAAGACAAGGTTCAGCTGTAGCTTATGCTCTCGTGTTTGTTTCCCTCTTCCTGCGTCTCTGTTGCAGGCTGCAGGGTTGATTCCGACACCCCCAAGGCTCCAGGTCCGCGCAAATGCCAGAGAGGCGAATGCAGTGACGGCAGAGGCCGGAGAGTACCAAGAGCATTCCATGAATTCGCAGCCCGTTGGCCAGAGTTCGTGAACCCTCGAATCCCTTTAAGAATCATTGTGCGCATCGCGTTTCCGATGGGCTACCAACACTTTCGGCTGGCCGTCGGGGGAAAGGATGAGGTTGTCGGGCTTCCAGTCGCCATGGATCACGCAAGACCTGCGCGTGACATGCAAACTCCGACACTACAGCCGCCGAAGGTCCTAACGGACCCTGTCAGAGACGAGTTGAGGTGTTCAACGTTCCTCTACCCTGCCTGGCCCTGCCTGTCCAGCACCCGTGAGATGTCTGCACGCTTCTGCGCGGTACTTCACGAACGGAAAACCGAGATCCCTTTCCTTATCTGCGCCGGATGGCACAGCTGGATTGGATTCCAAGCTGGTACGGTTGGCACTGGGAGCACTAGACACTTGAATGCAGCGGACGCAATCAAGTCAAGTGCACCCGAATGCAATGCCCGCCGGCGCGCCTGTCGGGAGGCATGTTCGCCTCAAAGAGCCTGACAGGTAGATGCTTTGCAGTCGATCTTGACCAGATTAGGATGCCTCGCAGGGCCTCAGGGCCTAGCTAGCAGTCTTCGATATATCACCAAATCCATCCAAAGCCCTTTGAGTCTCCCGGCTGGATCAGGTCGTTGATGCGCTGCATAGGCGGGATGTGGCCATCTGATCCGGACACCTGTGAAGAACAGGTGGCACAGCAGCTCATTCCTTTTTAACATAACAAGATTAGACAGCACAGCCCAAAACACACCAATCACATTGGAGAGGCCGCTGGCTCCGAAATCAATCATTCACGACCGTAGAGACCCGATGACGTTTCAGAAGCCGATCTCATGTCTCGGAATATCCTTTTCGCCGTGCTCCACTCCCAGAAAGCCTTCACACGCGAAAACAGAACACCCCGCGCAAAGGATGTTCAATGCTAATTAATCAGATTCTTCCGCTGGCCCTTTCAGTTTCCCTCCTGAAGCAATAGCCGTAAGAGTACCACAGTTCATGCTACAGCTTCGTCGACATCGTGGCATTCGCGCTGGTCACAGTGCGTTGCATATGTGGCTTCACTCGCCGCGAACTTGAATGCCCATTGTCATCATCGCAGAACAGTCGGAAAACTGCTCGTCGCCAGTAGCAGCATCGACAACAGGAAGAACAATAATGATAATGACAACAAGCAACAGTGGTGATGATGGTGATGATGATGATGATGACGATGATGATGACGATGATGATGATGATGACGGTGATGATGGTGATAATGATGATGATGACGATGATGATGATGATGATGATGAAGGTGATGGCGTTTGTTGTGGTGATGGTGGTCGATGACGATGCGGATGATGATGACGACGACGATGATGGTGGTGACGATGATGCTGATGCTGATGATGGTGATGATGATGCTGCTGATGTGAAGATGATGATTCTGATGACAATCGCAAGAGTGACTCTGATGATGCTGATTAGCCAGGAAGAGGACGTCCGAAGGGTGCCTGAGCCTCGCTGGTCCTCTTCATGGTGCGGATCTGGCGCCTTGGTGCAGATGCGGCATGTAGAACTGATAGCCATGCTGCCGCTGGGTGCTTTGTTCGATGTTGGCAACTTCAGAGATCTTCTTGGTTGGCAACCGTGAGCTTAATGGCACCCTTAGATCTGGGGTCGGCAACTCTGAACGAAACAACTGACAAAATGCCGGAACCGTGAACTTGTATGAGGGGACCGAGACGCCTCTTGCAGCCCAGCCGCTCGTAGAAGCCCCCTACTTTGCCATAGGGCTTCCCTGCCAAGGCCGTGCCGAGATAACATCAGGAGTGGTAGGCAGGGGTGGTCTTGGGCTTCCTTGTTCCCCCGCGTCGTAACGGCGGCTCGAGCATGAAACCAGGGCCACAAAAGAGCAGATCAGTCACCACCTGTAGCAGTCCGAATCCGAACAGGTATGTGAAGGCTCTCCTCCGAACCTGCGATCCGAAGCTGCAGGCTACTGCTAGGTCAGAGCGGAAGGGCCTGAGAGGAGCCCCAGCGTGTTGGGGTCGTAGCTGTGAAGCCTGAAAGGCCGTCCCAGAAGTCTTGGCGTCTGCTACGGAAAAGTTGTGGCTTTGGACACAGGAAGGTCGTGTGGCGTTGGGATCTAGCGAAAATCGGAAAGTGCACTCCCAAACATTCGGAAAGCTTCCTTCCTGTGTTCCGGTGTGGTCAAGCGAGCGTAGCCGGGAGGCCTGGCCAGGCTCTGTACAATCGCTTCCATGGCGGACCTTCGCCGGTCCTGTCCACAGAAACACGGAGAGTTGTCCGACTAGGTCTGCATCATAATAGCACGGAACACTGCGACAGTCGTCGTTGTAGCAACCTGCATGAACTCACATGAAAGGCAGTAAGTTACCCTTCGTGATGCCATTCTCAAGGCACTTTGTGCGACAAATGCATTCCAGCCTTCGGAAGCTTTAGGAGGCCATTGTCCGGGATGTGTCCCTGGATTGCATCATGTCATACACAGACACTTGCTGTAACAGAACGGCCCGCGATCATCTTTACAACTTCGCACAGGTCCAGTTGGGCTCCCTAACCTTTCTTTGACACACGGCAAATGGCAAAGGCGAAATTGGTCGCAAACTGAGCAGCGTGCGCCCTGCACATGCGTTTACCTACAGGTCCCCAAGAAGGGTGCTGAGACGCGAGATGTTCACCCATCACTGGCCCATCAGATTGCCTTGACAAAAGACATGACGTAAAAGGATGTTCCAATGACCTGCACAGCAAAAGCCATGCTGGAATCACTGCTACGCGACTGGAGCCCACGCAAGCTCTAGGGCCTTGGGATCCTCACACAGCGCATGGACAACCGGCACCTCGTAGCCGACCTGGCCCACGGCAGCTGAGGACACCGACAGTCTGTCCATGTCTCTCCAACTGTCGCCGCGAACCCTTCGTTAGATTCGTTGGTCAAAATCACGAAAGCGAACAGAATTCTCGCTTCGCCAAAATCGCCATGCAACTGTTCCAAGCTCACGGTGCACTGTTCTACACTGGCCCATCCGCGTTCGCACAACATCTTGCATACTATCGCGCTGCAGAGAGCCAAGCTCACAACAGACTCCACGGACTCCCCTGGGGCCTGACCCAAAGCCTTCATCACACGGTACTCTCGGTCAACCGCGTGGGCTCCACGGATAAGCTTCCCTGAGCGGCACACGGCACTTACTCGTCTAATGCTTTGGCCGTACGTCTTTGTTGGCAGAAGTCACTGCCATCGGATCATTACCAGCCATGCGCCGATCTTCCAACAGCTGAGCAAACTCGAAGTGTCATGCTTCAACCGTGCCAACCAAATTGGTTTAAACTCTGTGAAGTTTGGGGCTGTCAAACTGAAGTGCCGCTTAGACACCTGGGGGCTGCTTCCGTAGAACATATCTGGCAGGCAAAGCCAGCTTTGGACTTCCATGAACCCCCATCGACAAGCGCAACTGGACAAGATGCAGTAGGCAAAACCGCGCGCAGAAGACACAGCTGTGATGGAATGTGCCGGTCATCGCACCAAGCTTGATCGAAACTTCATGATTCTTGTGCCATACAGACATTATGTGTCAGAACCAGAGTAACAGGCGGTACACACGTGCGCCTCTGTCCGCCATGGGTGTCCAAGCAATAGGTGGGATTGGACCTGAGCCCCGAAATCGGAAATCTCTTCCGGAAAAACTGAACTGCCCTTGGCACACCGTCCAGTCGGTCTCCGCAAGGATCCTTGCATCTGGTGGGAGTCCGACTCGACCGACATGACATTACTGGAAGAAGCTGAGGCCGCGGCTGTCCGTAGCCGAACTTCTTCACTTTCAGAGGTCCGCCATCCACGCCAGGCAGGCCCTGGCAGAACGGCAGGCACCGTGCACAAGAAACCTTAAGATGAAAGGCCGATCTCCTTCACCCTTGCCCTGCTGCCTGGGAGATCAAGTATCTTGCCAGCGCCGCCTCATCGAAGCGGAGTCTTGCCTGCCCAGAGACGAAGCTGCACATACTGGCAGGCACGGCCCCATACTGAACGGCAGGGAAAAGTGCAAGTCGCAAGCAAGACTTGGTGAAAATTTTGACGAAATCCGCGACAATGCAACGCCCATAAGCAGGCAACCGCAGGCAACCCGCGGCGAGCCTCTACCTCCACGGTGTCTTGTCCGGGGTTTGCCATGGGCCCGGTGGTTCTAGTTTTGCCCTGGATGCACCAAGCTGATCTGACTGCTGAATTAGGCACATTTCTTTCCGCCTAGTCATAGTCGTAGGCCCAGGCATGTTCCAGGAAATAGTAGCCATGTTGAGGATTTTAGCTGGAGGAATATCTTTAGGATGTTCTTTTTCTGCGCTACCGATTTGCAGCTGCAAACTTATTTCTAAGGATGGCACACTCGAGCCGGCATGGTGGCAAGATCAACCAGCGCCATATTACCATCATGCTGCAAATGCTTCATGATTCTAGTGGTGTGCACTGCATGATGCTATCACTACGACTGCATACGGGTATAGCATAGCAAGAAATTCCTCTCCACATGGTTACTCTGGGCCTTGGCTGGCCATGACTGTTGGCTAAGAATTGCCCACTTTTGTGTTTGGCGAAGATTTGCTTCAAACTTGTATCGGCGAGACTTGCAGCTCTGGGGACAAAACAACCTGATCCAATCACCCTGACAGCAAGTGGCGCCTCGTTGGCTGCCAGCACCTGACCACCATCTGCCAACCCCGCTGTTTGCTCTCTGTAACTAGAAAACACACTATCTGTCCAGCAAAACTTCTCGTAAGCTGTATATTGCAGCAGAGGCTTCAGCGCGGGCGATGGACTCTTGCACCTACGAGTAGCTCGGGAAAAACAGTGTTCGGGCCGGGTAATCAAGCTAGGGGAGCCGACAGCATTGCAGCTGCAAAATCAGACACGGTTGGAGTCCTCGGGTCCTAGAGTGGAGTCATAGAGTCATAGAGTGTCTGAAGAACCACCCGGCCTTCTTGCAGCATGCGATTGCTGACACCTGTCATCATTCGGAGAGCGCCACAGCATCAGGTCTAGAGTCCAGAGCAAAAAAAACGCTGAGCCACCGGAATGGCCTTGCCGGATCTTCTCTAGAAAGAACCGTGTCGATGTCCATGCTCGGACCCCCTTGCTGCTGCTCCGTGGCTGATTTTGCCCTGTACCAACAGGATCATTCACCCATCGCTCCTGCTCTGTGAGGCCGAAGAGGACAAGTAAGGGTTTACGAAGAACGTCGCATATTCTGCGCTGGCTCCCAATCCGAATGCTCTGAACATCCAGAATGAAACTCCAGAGGCGTGCCCGAGGCAGCGTGTAAGCATACCTACAACGTCATGAAGCGCAGTCACCTTGGCCCATGCCCGGAGTTATAGCAGCAAGCACATGTGCACGCGAGACGGGTTTTGGTTGTAAAGGGCTGCGTGGCAATCGAGCAGTGTACAAGCTTGCACAAGTTGGCGCTGTGTGCGTACTCGCATCAGGAAGAGACATGACACGCAGCCGAAGACAAGAGCCCTCTTCAAAAGCATGTCGGAGACGCTTAGGTTGAACTCTTCGGGCACCGTTAACTTGAGAGAATGATGACCACGACCTCGGGGCCATGGGCCGACAGCAACGGTTGCGAGGTTGCAAGTCATGAGGACAACCTTCGCCGTGACTCTCTGAAAGATGCCTCCAAAGCGTCATAGGCAGGGACAATTACATTGTAGACCGTACATGTCGGAAGTAGCAGAAGCTGCTGGAAGCCATATACTGCCATAAACCTGACATGATCTCTCACGTTGACCACAAACTCCGGAGGCTGGCAGATCGATGTCTGGGACTGCGGCGCATGTCCGGAAAGTTCAGTGCCTGCTTTAGGGTTACCATGTAGGGTATGATTCCCTAAACCCTACACCCAAAACCCTAAAGTTTTGGGTTTGGATCTTTTCGAGCAACCTGTGATTGCAACTCCGATGTCTTCCAAAGCGCTACGCCCGAAAGACTTAGAGCATGGCTGCAAGGACGCGACATCCCCAAACCCAATGCCGAATCTATGAACTCCGCAAACCTCATACTCACTTCCAAGCCCTGTTGTCTAACCTTCTGAGCCACGGCTTTCCCTTTATGGAGCTACGGGCCTGTCCTCAAGTTCAGTCTTACTGCTCGGCCTGCGCGACATGACAAAGCCTGGATCCTAAACCTAGCAGCAAGAATATTATTCATAATAATAACAACAGTCATAATAATAATATCAATGTTAATAATAGTCATAATAAAAATAAAAAAAAATAATAATAATAATAATAGTCATAACAATAACAATAAAAATAGTAATAATAAGAGTAGCAATAAAAAATAATGGTAGTAATAATAAGAAGAAGAATAGTAATAATCATAGTAATAATATTAGTAAAATAGTACTGATAATAATAATAGCAGCAATAGTAATAGTAGTAATAGTAGTAATAGTAGTAATAGTAATAGTAATAGTAATAATAATAAGAACCAGAAGCTGCCAGGTTCGACTTGTGAACTCGGTGGGCTTGGGCTCGACGCCCCAAGGCTTAAAACATCATA